ATAATTCCAAAGATAAATAGGAATTATAGACTTAAAACGACAACTTAGAGAGTTTGCAATTTTTCTCTGCTTATAGAAGTAATGTTTTGTGGAAAAAGTTTTATTGTACAATGTTGGAAAATATAAAGAATTCAGAAATATGTAGAGCACAATAGAAATTATCTGTGCTTTCTCTGTAAAAAATAACCTGTAATTTTATATCTTGCATTGTTTAATCAGTACTACTTATGTAAAAAAATTCCAGTGGCATTTTAAAATATTTGAAACGTGTACAATATTTTATCCTTTATCACATGCATGCAGTATAATTTATTTAAACCATGGGTGGGTAACCATTTTTCTGCCAAGGGCCATTTGGATATTTATAACATCATTTTCAGACCATACAAAATTATCAACTTAAAAATTAGCCTGCTATATATGGTCAAATAATTAACTCACTCCTAATACCTTGGCAGGGTCAGACCAATGCTTTTGCAGGCCTTATGCACCCTGTGGGCCAGGCCCCTATTCTGAAAACCATCACTTACTGGCATTAGGCTATTTCCAGCATTTTACTCTTATAAGTGACCCTCTGAACAGGAATAAATGTTATTTGTGGCCTTTAGCATCAAAAGAAATGTAAGGTTAAGATATTAGCAAAAGGAATTTTCTTTTTGTAACATTTAAGAAGGAACTTCCTTGCTTGTTATGTTAGTGAATGTAATTATTTTGCATGCTTACATTTTTCATGTAACACTCACCCTATTTTACAATTATTTGTGTGGTTGTTACCTTCATTCCTATGCTATAAAATCCCCCAAAATAGAGATTTCATTTTATTCATTTCCGAATGCCCTGTTGAATACATGTTGTAATTTAATTGAAACATTGTGATTCAGCATCTGAGTAACTTACACAGTTTCAAATTGATTTCTCTGTCTATGGTGTCCAAAGCAGGGAATCTAGGTTTTCAACCATCAATCAGATTAAATCCAATTCTAGCAAACAACTAGTATTTATTATAGAGCTTGGAAATAAGAATTATCAGAGTTATGATAATAAAGCTTCAGATCTTTAAGACTGTTAGACAGAAACAATGTTCAACTTATTCTGTGGTGGCCCAGGTTCAAAACAAATTCTTAATGAGTGAAGTCATAGTAAGGCAGGCTTCCACTAGGTGTTTTGATCTCTGACAATGGGAAAATTTGATTCAATATATTTTTAATGATTCTAATATATAATTGTTTATGGTCAATAAAAGCATGGGGAAATTTAATACATGACCAAATGTTTTTTTATTCTTATACTAGAGGCCCAATGTAAGAAATTCATGCAACATTCTTGGCTCCCACCACCGCGGCCCCTACCTGTTGCCTGCTGCCTGCTGCTGCTTTGGCCCCCACTACCATGGCAGCCGCCTCGGCCCTTACATCCCCAGCTTCCTCCAAAAGATCGTCCAGAAGGATGTCTGAAAGGACATCCAGACTAATTAGCATGTTTTGCTTTTATTATTATAGATGGAGTAGGTATTGAAAGTAGTTTCTGATTTGTTATACATAACAAATTATACCCTATATTTACAGGGTTAGTGAATTTGTTTTCTCATTATTTTATCCCAAAGAAAATGAAATGCTATTTTTAATTATAGTATGGTAATGAATATAGTATAGAAAAATTACGGATCTATATCCTGCTATTTTATTAAAAACTAGAGGCCCTGTGAATGAAATTCGTGTATGGGGGTGAGGGGAGGAGGTTGCCCCTTAGCCCATCCTGTACCCTCTCCAATCTGGGATCTCTCTCAGGATCCAGGACTGCTGGCTCCCAACTGCTTGCTCACTTGCCTTCATGATTGCCCCTAACCGCTTCTGCCTACCAGCCTGATCACCCCCTAACCACTCCCATGCAAGCCTGATTGATGTCTAACTGCTCCCCTACCAGCCCGTTTGCCCCAACTTCCCTCCTCTCCTGGCCTGGTCACCCCTAACTCAATCCCTTGCAGGGTTGATTGTCTTCACCTGGTCCCTCTCAACTGCCCTCCCTTGTAGGCCAGGTGCCTCCCAAGAGCCCTCCCCTGCTGGCTATCTTGTGTCCACATATTAGGTCTAGTTATAATTAATGTCGTTTTCTAATACTTTTTTAAATCGAATTTATTTAAACAATACAACAAAATTTAATCAACAATATAGTTGCCGTTGTTTTCTACTACTTGTGCCCAACGCTCAGGAAGCATTTTAATCCCTCTGTTGTAAAATTCTTGTGATTTTGATGCCAAAAATTCGGTCAATGCATTTTTGAGGCATTCTTCATTATTAAATTTTTTTCCAAGAAGAAAGTTTTGCAAAGAACGAAACAAATGGTAATCGGAAGGGGCAATATCAGGAGAATATGCAGGTTGAGGGAGAACTTCCCATTCCAACTGGCGCAGTTTTTCAGCAGTGATTCTTGCAGTATGCGGTCGTGCGTTATCTGGTGAAGAATTACGCCCTTCCGATTAATCAGTGCGGGTTCTTTTTCTCTTAAAGCTTGGGCTAACCTTTCCAATTGGGCACTATCCACTGCACTTGTAATGGTTTGGTTAGATGGTAAAAGTTCATAATGAAGACTTCCTTTAAAATTCCACCAAACACACAACATCACTTTTTTCGCATGCAAGTCAGGTTTTGGCGTGGGCTGTGGAGCCTCATTTTTGTCCAACCATTGAGGCCACCTTTTCAAATTAACATACAGCACCCATTTTTCATCTCCCGTAACAATTTGCTTTAAAAACGGCAAACGGTTTAACTGCAAATTGTGACTCTTTGATTACGGTTGTTGTCAGTCAACTCATGAGGAACCCATTTTCCAAACTTTTGGATTTTGCCAAATGCACGCAATTGATTGGAAATTGTTTTTTGTGAACAATTTAAAGTTGTCGCAAGCTCTTGTTGGGTAATTTGAGGATTTTGCACCAAAAGAGCTTGAAGAGCTTCTTGATCAAAATTGGACACACGGCCTCGACTAGTCTTGTCATCTAACGAAAAATTTCCCTCGCGAAATTTCTCAAACCAACGCTGGCATTTTCTGGCGCTAACTGCATCTTGACCAAGAGCACTACAGATGTTTTTTGCAGCCTCACTTGCTTTTCTTCCTAATTGGAACTCGTAAAGCATGCAGTGCCGAATATGCTCTTCATCCGCCATCTTCTTAGCCCTAGTTTTGCAACAAAAACCAAACCAAACACAAACTTTTTCAAGCAAAACTTGTTAATTGCACTTCACACGTTCTGTAGATACCACGTGTTTGAAGGTTATGTCAATACAAGTCAACGCCAAGCAAGATTTTAAACGAATGTTTAAAACGACATTAATTATTACTAGACCCGATATTATTGTTTGAAGTGAAGTAATTGATTCTGAATAATCTATGGACATCTTAGAGATGATAAAACTTGTGCTCTATACATGTAGAAATTCAGTATCTCGTAATATCCTCTTTTTAAAAAAGCTATTTAGGCTCCCAAAATGCAAGTTCCTGAGGCTTTGACATGTGTACAGATGTGGCGCTTGCACAGAGTGTAACACTTTCACAATGTGTTTGTTAAAAGCAGTTTTTACACAAGACATCATGACAAAGGATTTCATTATTTTCAGTTGCCTATTTATAAGCTGAAATAGGAATATACTGAGGCTTCCTTGTTTTCCTCTCTTTGAAGGAATCAGTTATTGGATAGGAGATAGGGCGGTCACCACAAACCCTTTTCCTATCTCTTGGCAAGTTCATGAAATCAATAAAACTAATTTTGGCCTCAACCAGATCCTATAATTACCTATAAGTGGATCCAATATAGGTGTGCTTTGGCCTCCTTGAAAATAGATCTTCCGAATAATTTGTATTATCAGAAGGGTAATGATTAACATCCAAGGGGGAACTTTTCAGTCTTCATAGCCGGAGGACTCAGAGAATTGGTGGTTCAGGAAGAAAGGTATTATGACTTGTCTGTCTTTCAGTGCCCATGAACTAAGTAGTGGCCTATCATGACTTGAGTCACAAGCCATATTATTCCAAAAAATAATGGTCTGTGCATAAAATTTTTTAACAGGTCTGAACAGAAAGTCAGTGTGTTTTTACTTTTAAAATATATTTTTTATTGATTTCAGAGATGAAGGGAGGGAGAGAGAAACTTTGATGATTAGAGAGAATCATTGATCGGATGCCTCCTTGCATACCCTGCATGGGGGATGGAGCCAGCAACCTGGGCATGTGCCTTGATCGGGAATCAAACCCTGACGTCCTGGTTCATAGGTTGATGCTCAACCACTGAGCCATGCCAGCTGGGTAGTCTGTGTGTTTTTAAACAAAGAAGACTCTTTAATACTAACTTTGGAAACTGATATTTTTTAATATATTTACTAATTTTAAACAAACAAGAATAGTGAGCTTTTTAACATTTGAGTAACATTCAATTCAAATGTATTTCTGAACTAACAGGCACTTTATGTTAACCTTTTATTGTAATTTTAAAGGACATTTCATTTGCATAAAAAGTTATTTACTATGATGTTCATATAATTTTGTTTTAAAAATATATCCCATAAATAATTATTATATACTGTAATGAAAGGTGCATTCAACAAACTATTTAGTAAACATCTACAATGTGCCAGGCAATGGGATTTGGTGCTGGGATATTTTAGCAAAATCTAATTAATGTTGTAAACACTTTAAACAGTATGTCTAATTAAATGTCAGAATAACACCAAGCTTTTCTCCTTTGCCCCCTTAATCCCCATAGCTTGACTAATAAATGGAGGAGGCACTAAGTATACTTCTGGTTTTGAGATTACCTTCATTTGCAATTTCAGTCAACATAATTTAGATAAAACAATTTGATTTGGGTTCATGTTGGTGCTATTTTGATCTGAAGGGCAATTTATCAACAAGCAGGGACAATTTCATTATTTTCCTTCACCACTCCAAGCAGTCTTTACTGAAGTCTTTCAAACAATGTGTGACCTCTATTTCAATACTTCTCACAGATTTCACAGACTGTCACCACCACTCAGCCATCACTAACACAAAGAACTGTAATGGAAACTGTAACTATGGTGACCACAAGAGAACAAATCCTGGTAAAGCATGCCCAAGAGGAACTCCCACCGCCACCTCCCCAAAAGAAGAGGCAGATTCTTTTGGATTCTGAAATTAGAAAAAGGTGAGATAATTTTACTCTTGGTATTATCTTCAAGCAAAGAGTAACTGGTTAGCAGGAAATTTCACTTTCATCTATAGTGATGGCAGTGTTTTTATTTAAACAGTATTTCTAGAAGCCTCGGGTGCCTGTAATGTCAGTTAGGCTAGTGAAAAGAATTATGAAGTGAATTTTGAAATTTGCCCAAGCAATCACTGTCCAAACAAAAACTGAATGTTTAATGGAAATACTGTTTTCTGGATTGAAAGAAGAAACTATGTGTGATGAACTACCATCAATTTATTTTAATCCTGAAAAATTCCATTTTTTTTTTCTTTTAAAAACCCTGCTGGTTCAGTGCATGTTTTAGCATTAACCCCCCCCCCCCCATCCAGTAATTGGAAGTACATTTTCATGAAGGAATATACCTATAATAGACAAGATCCATTCTGCCAGTTTATGAGAACATAATGTTTCAATCTACGCAGCCTAAATCAGGAGTCATTAATTACAGAACAGATTTCCTCTTCTTTGATATTTATAAAGTCTTATCATGAACATGTTAGAATTTTTAACTGGTCTTTTTGTGGATATTCTCAACTAGACATTGTAGATAAGTTAAGTATTATGTAACTCAGTGAATATATTACAATGATGGGAATACAATTTCATAAATGCAAAACCAGCATGAAAAGAATAAAAATGGTACAATTTCATTTTCATTCCAATTATAATTCTAAGATTGAGGAATAACGTTAAAATTTGCCTTATGTTTCTAAGCAACATGGGACACTTGACATTAGAATTTGTATATACCAAGGGTATAGAAATAAGGGGAACACATATCTAAAAATAGTGAGTCAGGTATTCTTAGGCAAAGGAAAAAGAAAACACCCAAAGAAGCTACTCACATTATTAGGGAATTTCAATATTTCTGTATTAGTCCGTGACATATAACCTACTTTCATAATTCCACAGTATACCATTGGACATTTCTACCTAATTATATCTGCTTGGCTGAGTGAATCCTTTTGTCCAGAGGTCAACAAACTCAAGCCTGAAGGCTAAATCCAGCTCACTGCAGTTTTTATATAGCTCATGAGCTAAAAATTGTTTTTACATTTTTAAATGGCTGAAAATAATTGAAAACAATTATATTTCATGTTGTGAAAGTTTGATGACATTCCAATGTTAGTGTATATGAATAAGGTTTTATAGAAACATAGCTACACTTGCTGAAACTGGTTTGACTAAGTGGTAGAGCGTCGGTCTCCTGACTGAAAGGTGCCGGGTTCGATTCTGGTCAAGGGCATGTACCTTGGTTGCTGGCACATCCCCGGTAGGGGGTGTGCAAGAGGCAGCTAGTCGATATTTCTCTCTCATCGATGTTTCTAGCTCTCTATCTCTCTCCCTTCCTCTCTGTAAAAAATCAGTAAAACATATTTTTTAAAAAAGAAAAAGAAACATAGCTACACTAATTAATTTATCATCTATGGTTGCTTTGACATTACTAGATGCCTGATGCACAAAATTTATTCATTCCTGGGGGGAGGGAGTCCCTCAGCCCGGCCTACACCCCTTCTCAGTCTGGGAGCCCTTGGGGATGTCCACCTGATGGCTTAGGCCCGCTAATCATTCTGAAAACCTTAGCCCTGCTGCAGAGGTGGGAGAGGCTTGGGACAGCTCCTGCATTGAGCAGGATCAGGCTGAAACCAGTACTCCAACATCCCTCAAGAGGTCCTAGATTGCAAGATGGTGCAGGCCAGGCTGAGGGACCCGACTGATGCAGGATCAGAGCCAGGGAAAGACTGGGGAGGGCTCCAGAGCATGTGTGGCCTGTTTTACTCAGTCCTGATCAGCCAGACCCCAGCAGCAAGCTAACCTACTGGTTGGAGTGTCTGTTCCCTGGTTTTCAGTGTACCTCATAGCAAGTGGTTTGGTGTCCTTACCATATCATTAGCATATTACACTTTGATTGGTTGAATGGACGACTAGACACCTAGCATATTAGGCTTTTATTATATAGGTTGACAGTGTTATTGTCAAAGAGACTATATGGTCCACAAAGCCTAAAATATTTACTAATTTACTATCTGGACCCCATAGGAAAAGTTTTCTGACCCTTATTCCAGTGAAATGGTTCTCAAATCTATGAATATTGGTGTTCTATTTGGGACAGCAACTTCTAAGGACTCTACTCATGCTAGTAGTTGAATTTTTAACATTCATTGATAGAGAAAGAACATAATGGCAAAAATAAATTAGTAAATCTCTTAATGAGTTTGCTTTTCATTAATCCTACTAGCATGAAAATTAATTTTATGTCATGTTTAATATGTGTCTAAATGCTTAGTGGGCACATGGATTTATGGATCCTTTGCAATAACCCAATAGCACTTCAACAATTTTCCAACGAGAGCAATATAGGAGCCTAATTGCCTTCCCCTCCCTATGTGTTCAGCAATCTCCGAATATAGAAATTGACAGGGCAAGTTGACTCATGTCAATCTCCATCTTCAAAAGTGTATTCTTGCCTTCTGTTTGGGAAATGTGTTTGGGTAGGAAAAGTTTTGTGTGATTCCTTTTTGTATTCAGGAAAGTGTGAATAGTGGTGAAATATTTTGTCTCCTAAATTCTGTTTGTATCATATGCAGTTTTCGTAACTGCCTGGAATGAGATGTGCAAGTGAGAATAAAAAGAATGCATTTACTTAAATAATAGCTAACAGCTTTTGAGGGTTTTATTATGTGCTCAGCACTACATTAAATGCTTTATCTGCATATCTCATTTATTCGTCCCAGTACCCTACAAAATAGGCACAGCTTATATTACTGTTACACATAGCTACAGGGGAACTGAGCCAGGATTTTGACTGAGGTAAACTGACTGCAGGATGTGGATTGTGTAGTAAAATGTTTCTTCAGTAGTTATATAACTAAGGTGATCTTATGTCTTGTTTCACCTGAATCCATTCTGATTATATCTTTTGTCCTAGCACAATAATATATAGCACAAACTTTCACTCTCAAGTGCATCCTGATTTGTACAGTATAACATGCACACTCTATAGAAGACTAGACTGCTAAATTTAGACTGAACAAAAAGAGCAATTGAACAAATATTTAGGAGTAATTAAACCTAGGTTTAAAAAACGTTCTCCTTTTCCAACTTCTTTGACACACTACTAGCTTTGCCCCTACACTCTTTATCTGGCTTGTTTCCCTCCTTTTTCCAAATTCCTATGTTTGTGTCTCATAAATCTATCTCTTTGCCCTTCTGACTCCTTTATCTGAATTGTCTCCTCTCATTGATTCAAGTCTGGATCTCAGTGACTTACTACCAAAACTTATAGCTCCATGTCTGACTCCCTTCCTCAAATTTCACTTTTACATCTTTAGGGAGATGATCTGGGTATTTCTACTTGTGCATACAGCCAATGGTTCAATTTTACTTTTTATCAAATGCAAACATGTGTTGCTTCTAATAAACCAAACTTAGTTACTCATACATCGGACACATATTTTACTTATTATAATTCATTGCCTTTGAGTAGCAGATATTGGAAAAAGCATGGACTTTGAAAACAGAATTATTCAGGTTTGAAGACTGCCTCTTTTAATTGATAGCTTATGATCCCAGGGAAATTACTGAATATCTGTGCCTCAGATTCAGTATCCTAACATTATTGAATGCTAACTGTAATGGTTAAGAAAGGAGCATTTAATACAGTGCCTGGAAGGTAACAAGAATTCAGTACATGCGATAACTCTTATTCTTGTTTGATTATGGTTAATATTGTGGAGGTAGAGATGGTGGTGGAGGTTGTGGAGGTGTTAGAAGTGGTGCTGATGATATTAGAGACAGTGGTGGTAGAAGTGATGGTAGTGATTAAGGTAGTGATGGAGGTGGAGATGGAGATGGTGGTCATGTATTATTGGTGAAAAAAATCCCATAATAAATATCATCCCAAAGTTAATGAATATAACAATAAATGACTTAATTTTCCATTTTAAAACACCACCTGACTTCTTTATTTTTGTTCTCTGACCTTGTTCCTTATATATTTTGATTAATTACATTATATTATTGGATAAGTGCAATCATTTTAGTCATTTCCTAATTCTAACTGCCAACTCCACAACCTAAGCTACATACCTCACTGTGGTGAGACTTGTCACTCTGATTAATCTACCTCAAATTAATGTATCTAAAATGTCACTTTTATGCTGACTTCTGATGTGATATCCTCATAATTCCAGTTGTTCCAAAATAAAAAACAAGCTTCTTATTATGGTATTTGATATTTTGTTCACCAAGTTTCTGTCCATCTTCTCCAAACTCTTTCTGCATTAGTCAGTAAATTACATTACATACATTATTTTTGCTATGTACCTTAATGTCACCCACAAAAATTTTTCTCGTCACCAATCTCAACTAAGGAATCCTGTTACTATACTTGTTTGTACTTTACTTAGATTCCATATATGTATGTGTATGTATATAATAAATAATCAAATATTTGTGTGAAGAGTGAATAATATAGTCCAACTAATTGTGATAGCTAAAATGCTATATTACAGTAGCATTTAAGAATTCCACTTAGCTCTTCATGGAATTGTTTTTAATAATAAACAAATTAACATTCTAATAATCTTTAATAATTCTGATTTTACCAATTAAGATATCATTGTTTACTCGAAATCAAGAAAGGATTTAAAATTCAGCTTTGTACCACAGTATAGTTTCTTAATTACCTAAGGTACATTTAATTGGTTTCTTAATAATTACACGGTTTCTGCATTTGTCATATTTACTGCATAAATTGTCCTCCTTTCACTAAGATATACAAAGGTGTTTGATGATCTTAGGTTACAAGGTAATTATTTCTAACAATAAATTATCCCTGAAATTCAGTGACATGATTTTGCATATAGGCAATTATCAGAGTATTGGAGCTCAGTCTAGGTTAAACCTAGATCTATTACTTAGTTAATTGGAATTTATAGAGAGGACTCATTTCTAAT